TTTATCAATCCTCGACGTTGTAAGAGCCGCATCTCTGTACTCGAGCCTTTGAGGCTCGATCGTTGCTTAACCAAGCTTCCCAAATTAAGAACATCAGTATGCATAATTACCTCTCACTGCCGAAGCACAACTTTGCAATTTCTTATTTAAAATCATTTTGCTAACACTTAGTTGTAATTGTTGAATATGAAAGTATCAAAGAGTAACTATCGACTCTGTGGTAAGCTCTACGCGTACGTGTTGTTAAGTTTGAACTTGGAGAAACATTTGGTGGGAGAATGCTACTATTTCCGTCCATGAGAAAAAGGTTTCCTCTAGTACTACTCATTGCTGAGATGCCACTGCTGAATAGATGGCATTAATCGTAAGCCATGGTGATATTAGCAATGAGAAAGCTCTTAAACAATTCGTGACTGAATTTCTCGATATGATCTGCATCTACCATTTATTAGCAGTCGCATCTGGATAGGCCATTGTACTGAAAACGTCCTTTAGAAATGGAATTTGCTAGTAGCTAATATTTTAACAAGAAATTGTAAAATTCTCACCTCCTTTGCTGTCCAACTCGACTTTTTCTCTAACCGAAGTGTCTCTTTCACTCTTTGTTTCATTTCGTCCAACGTTTTCAGCCCTTTGGACGGGATTTTTAACGACGCCATTGTGGTTGCCATCTCCCATCTGATGTCGTCGATCTTGTCAATGTCTGGTAATGCACTCATGTTGCACACCGATAAATTAAATACTTATGCTCAAAACTTTGTCAATGTCAGGTTTAAAACCTTTGAAAACTCCGAAAAAGGAAAAATATAAGTCTCGAAAGTTTCGCATCCACAGTCCACTACACACCAAGTATCTGATTACGGTAGTGCACCGTCACACATCCCTGCAACTGACGACCATTGTTTAGGCTTGTCTGACAGTCAGTGCGTGACTTATCACGCAACATGCAATAAGTAAACATCGAGGGAGATAATCAAACATATAGGTACAGGTACTTTGAAAAAGTAACGGGATACGAAGTTTTGCTTACTGCATTCAGTGCTGGTCGTTTTGAATGTTTGTCAGATGAGGTACACATCCAAACAACACATCTGAACAACAACAGGTCCTCAAAAATTGAGGTTGAATCAATCGATATTTCAAGCACAAACTCCGATAGAAACTCAACTTTCGTTGTCGTTTCCCTTCATCTTTTTTTACTAGTTTTGTACCACGTGGATCGTCAAAACATTTCATGCTTGTGCAGTACAGTGCGTCATGTGGTTAGACTGATCTATAGTTTTTTTTTTATTATTTAATGGCCTATTAAGGGAACTTCACCGACAGAACCAAGAGATTGTTTGCTGTATGTCTCACCTAAAATCAATTATTACTCTTCAGGTTATCTAAAAGTCAGCTTTCGTAAGAAACAAAAGAGATAGGAATCCTGGAAACAAGGATTTCACCGAACACATTCCTCTGCAGCACTACCATTACACAGTAGATCAACCCGACCGGACCGAATTCCGAGGCGTTCACACGAGGGTATCACACAGGGGGCTCATCACAGGCGTGAGTAAGGACGTTTTAAAAGTGTACTGAGGATTCAAGTGCGAGTCATTATTATCAATTTTCACTTCTTCTTCAAATATAATGAAGAACATATACCGTATGCATTCCTTTGTTAAAAACGAATAATGTTAATTTTAAACGGATTCCGATAGAGGCCTTCATATACAAGTTTTTTCTGTATTTGAACACTAATCACTCACAAGTGACAGATTTAAGCTATAATATTACAATTTTTAACTCCGGGCTGTACTGAGAGGAGGTGAGGGCTTCTCAGAGAAAAAGGTTCATGGAAAAAAATTAAAGCCCTGTACAGCCTTGGATTATTTTACTCTTAAAGGTGGCATGGTCAGTTCCCTTTACCCAAACATCTTTGGTAGTGAATGAATAATGATCAATGTAATCCAGGGAAAAAGGTTTCAAACATGAAAGCAGTGATGAAACTGATCAGTTCATGATTCAAGCCCGCAAATAGCTGCACCCCAGAAGACAGTGGTTGCTCTTCGTTCAGTTTGTCCACCTGACCATTGTATGTCAAACGCTAAAAGTGAAGAACAAAAGTTTAAAATTTTTTTGCCTCTATCCACCTTTGAATTTAATTAATAACCAAAAAAACAAACAGACTTGTTATCTTTTAACGAGTGCTAGGTAACCCAGCTACTTTTTTCACCGTTTAGACCCTTCCACGCCTTTAATTTGCTTACAAAGGCTGAAAAAGATTTGGACTCAAAGAAGTATGACTCTTACCACGGCTCATCATAGACTCGCTAGTAAAAGCAGGTAGGACCTACAAATATCATAGTAAATTACTATTATTCGCTAAGGCTGCGAAAAAAGCTTACGGTAAGTAGTAAATACGGTTGAGATAGTTGCCTGACAACCAGATTTTACATAAGTGGTGCTCAAACTTCCTTGAATAGCTCAGAGAACTATTGATAACATTGTGCTGAATCTGGCCCTTTATTTGGATTTTCATCCCAGCAATGCCCCATTACGATTTGCTAACCAGTTGGCGGCGTCTTTGAGCATTGGACATGCCTAGGTCTCGTACTTCCAATCACTATGTCAAAAAGCTCATGTTCATCTCCTGCCACATCGAAAAGGGCTCTCTTACCATACCACATCTCTCAGAGTATTATGTCGAAGCTGTATATGACGGCAGATTCGCCCAAGCTTGGACTGTCAACTAACACATTTTTCTAAAAGAAATGTAAAATATGAGATGCAGCATGCGAGATGTAATAGGTTTTGTCCTTGAGCATCACTCTTCATATTGCATTTTGATTGGTTGAAGTAAAACCAACACCGAAGTTATCGCAGCAGCCAATCAGAGCGAAGAAATATCTCGCATCTCGCATGGACCATGAGAACTCAGAGAGAAGACAAGCCTGCAACGTGTTGCTGAGGAAAAACCAAGTGACCAAGTAGCGATTGGATTGATTTTAAATCTGATTAGTAATAACAGGACAGAATGGAGTACAATTCAGGAAGTAATTGGGCGAATGATTTCAAATTTACCTAGCACGTAGAACGAAGCTAATTGAAAATTGTAAGCAAACGCACTCCTGAATTGAGGGAAACAAAGTCCGCGTACCTTTCAATTGTCAATGAAAAAATATACACTTTCACTCAGGAATGAAAAATTTAATGTAAGAATACATACCCCTCTCATCGATATTGAATAGCCTGATTACCTTGGAAGTTTTCTTTATTTTGTTTGGCTAGGTAGTTGATTTTTATCAGCTGTATAACTGTCAGATTTCGCCTGTGCGATAATAAGTGTTTGTAATCAGACCGGTAAAATCAGATAGTTTGGACCTGAAACAACAAGTAAAGCCATGAACAAGGGCTTTTATAAAACCACCCAAACTCGAGCGTTTTGTTCTTGACACAATTGATTGACGAATTGAGATAATTCTGCAAGGAAAGGTCTTCTTTTAAATCACGTGCCGGAGACGTCACTGTGATATTATTTTGAGAACAGTTTATCATATTTTGTACCGTACTATCACGGCAAGAAATGAAAAAATTATATCTTGGGATCCACTGGGCATAATTCACTGATTCAAACAGGAAAATGCCCTCTCTCCAAAGCAGAAACTTTCCTCTAAGTTTTCATGATGCGCCGATCACACCTCTTAAGAACGTGTCCACGAGAGCACCGAGCAGCCTGGATACATGCCATCTCACCGATTTCAATGAAACTTTGCCAGTTCAAAGGATCTACCCCAAACCTCAAAATGGCAAACCGGTTTCTGCTTTGGTTATTTCCGGGGGGAGATAGACCATCCCCCGGTTTTTCAAGTTTTCACTAAAAAATGGCCTCATAGGTAAAATGTAAGAAGCTCTTACTGCAACTGTATTACAGTCAAGAGATTGTAACAGGCTAGGAGAGGAGATTTTAAAGTCATACCACATGCTTGTCAACTACAAGTTCCCGAGTACAACAAGTTAATAATAATATTTATACAGGATAACCACTTCAGTGCACTAAGCACTGGTATCAATGGGGCTCCTGTTATTAAAATACTTAATTAAAAAATACAAAAAGTCTAAAAGGTAAAAGGAACCAACTTGGCCACTATTTGTCAAGAGCAAAAACAAATCAGCCCTAAGGGGATTGATACACATTTTAACCAGCTCTAAGTTAAAGTAATCTACTTAATCATTGGAACTCTAGTATACTTAACAATACTATGAGACGATGACTGGACTATGATGAGAGCCAAGGACACCATCCTTGACACTGACTAAGACCAGAATGGGTTTCTATAATGTACGATCTAAGTTTTAAACGGGAAAACTGGCCAAGGTGAGGCTATTCTATTCGCTACAACAACCATAAGTGAGTGCTGCTGCTCCACAAAAGTCTACACTTAAAAAGTAAACACATTGAAAGTGGTTGCCCAATAATCAGAGTTTTCTAAGATGGTGCTGCAGCGTCCTGATAGAGCTGGGTCAACTTCTTGTAACACTTTGCAGCATCTGGTCGATTATCAGGTTTTATGTCCCAGCAATGCTGCATCAGATCGTGCAAAACAGTTGGAGGCCTGTTTGAGCCTTCGACATGTGCAGGTCTTGCGCCCTTAAGCACCTTGTCATAAAACTCCTTCACATCTCCTCTCACATCAAGAAGGGCTCTCTTACCGTACCACATCTCCCAGAGCATTATACCAAAGCTGTACACGTCTGCTTTGTAATCGTACATACAGGACCTAATCACTTCCGGAGCAAGATACATAGGAGTTCCCGTCATGGTACCCGTGATAGCTTTGGCTTCTTTGGAAACACCGACATCGGCTACTTTGGCAACATTTTCTAGCGACAGCTGTGGGATGAGAAGATAATACTCATGTAATATGATACAGGTTCAATACCAAAGTCCAAAATTTTCCCTCTTAAAGAGGGCAAGGCAAAGTGAAAAAGAAAACAAGGTGCCTGGAGGCGTTAGTCTGGAATGCGTTGTCACACTGGTTTTAGGTGGAAAATAATCAATTCAATCCTGACTCTTCAAAGAACAGGAATTCAATGGAAAAATAAGACAAGAAAGACAAAGTCAAAAACAAAAGATATGATGTGCGATTACGATAGCCAGTAGTTCCAATTCATAACTTACCAATACATTTTCCAGTTTGAGATCTCTGTGAACAATACCTTGTCTGTGAATGTATTCCAGAGCATCGGCAATTTCTTTTGCCCATCTGATCACATCTCTCGTAGCTGTAACAGATGATGATGGCTCACCAGGTATCTTGCTTTTATGCTGGAAAATATGCCTCATCAAATTTTCCTTGCAGAGCTCCAACACCAATATCGCTTTCAGCTGATCCCCTTCCTTACGCAGTGCTGCACCATAGAACTTTACAATGGAGGGATAATTCAGTTTCCTATAAAGGAAATAGGTATGTGTAAAACAACCTACACTCTTTTAAAAAACAGTATCCATATTTTCTATACCATTCCCTACACATTTTCCGATACTAAAAAAGGAAGATTTTGATTCTCATCCAGAGCTTTTTCTGTTGGCGATCATTTCCCTTATTCTTATGACATAAATGTTTGATTCAGCTGTGATGATGGGAGGAGCAATTGGATGCGTGTCACTCCTAAGTGACTCAAGGGTTTCAATGGTAAAGACCTGGGCCGGGTTGTTCAAAAGTAGGTTACGATAACCCAGGGTTAGTATGAAATTTGATTTCAGATCTGAAAGCTTTAAAAGAAAATTCAGCTTGATTCCATTTGACCACAATTTGATGATTAAATGCCCAAAAATAAATTGGGAAAATTATCCCAAAACGGCTTTTTATCAGAGAAATATAGAAACCTGGATTAAGATTTAACCCTGGGTTAGTGCTAATCGACCTTCGAACAACTGGGACCTGTTGGTAAAATGAATAGTGAGAAGTTTGACAGTTAAGGTCATTCTCATTTACTACCTCGATGTGCCTTGACATATACCTAGGTTCCCCGTGTTCCGAAATTGCCAGGAAAATATTATTTAATTTACATAATACAGAAATCTTCTTATTACAATGTCCATTTTCCAGTTGATGCCTTGCAACCCAACACCACGAGCTCCTTGAGCAGAGAAGAATGATTCGATTAGGAAAATGCCCCATTAGCTACCAGTCAGAATATGTTAAGTGCTTCCTAAAAGTCAAAGCTGAAGGATATATATATATATAT